TTGGCTAATAATCACATGTAGATCTACAAATTGATCTACAAAGCTAGCCAATCAGACGAATTTCTGCCTATGAGCTTATATCAGTTCTTTTATAATATTCAACGGGTAATATTGGATTACCTTGAAATCCTAAAGAGTACATTCATAATGTTGGCTAATTTTGAATAACGTACTGTATAACGATAAAAATTTTTTTTAACGGCTTAAAATATGAACACTAAGTTTTAGGACCGAGTTCGAACTAGGTTCGAAACTTGAGTGTAACTTTGGAACTCTAACGTGACTTTTACATAATATTATTCGGACTTGGGTTTGGAACTGTTCCGACTCGGACTTCTTGGACCAGGACTTTTACCATCCCTACTCGTAATTTACTTTGAGTCTTACTATATCTTAAAACTCAGTTTGAATGGACGAGTATAACCTTAAAATATCTAGTTCAGAGACGAACTTCCAAAATATCGATCCCAAATTAAAAAGAAAGGTTTTTCGCAATATTACTGTTTTTAGTTTGTTTTTTTTTTTACTTTTTATGCAATTTTTTTGACCATTTTTTATATTAAATACAAATTTTAAAAAAGGATGATAAAAAATCATGTGATAATAACATAATCAAACTTGGGTTTCCTTCACTCTCTACAGCTATCGGGCAAATACCAATCGATGAAGCTGCACGTATTGCTTGTGAAGTTAGTGTGATAAGCCAATCAATTCTATAACGATATTTATTGATCGGATTTGACTGATCATATTTAAATTTAAAACCTGAAGGTTATAAAAGAATTTTTAAATTCTCACAAAAATGATTTGGACTTTCAATTGATTTTGATCGATCAAGATGATCGAGTGTTAAATGTCTTTAAATTGGTAAAAATTAGTTTATTTTCTTTATTTATTTTCTTTATTTATTTTCTCCGTATCAGATTATAATTTTAAACATTTTAAAAAATCGTTATGTAGGAATGGGAGAAATTTAGAGAAAATGAGGAATCAAGGTTTCAAATGAAACTTGGAGATTTTGTTGAAATAATGAATGAAATTGAGATAGAGTATGATCTAAAATTTTTGTCATATCTCACTTGGTCTTTGATATGTATATATATATATATATTTATTGTTTTTTGTAGATACATTGTAAACGAATCAACATGGAGGTTAAAACCCGGTATGTATGGTCTGCATTATTGCTTTAAATACATTGTATTATTTTATTATCACGTTAAAAGTTTCTTTTTGATCAGGTGTGACACCTTTGGGTAAAAGTTTATATGACGTTATAGGATCAAAATTATTTGAAGAGATAAAACGGTTATATCCGGATCCGGGAGTAGTAAGTAATTAAATGTATAGAGATACAAATAGGAATACAAATAAATTTTAAAAATATTTTTATGTGTAATTAGGTTGGTGAAGCATATCCCGTACCTATTCCATCAGCCAGTAAATTTTATCAAGGCGTAAAACAGGTTATTTATTACCAAATTGTTATGTCAATTTTTTATGTAAAATAAGTCTAAATTCTCATCATTTTGTAAATACGACAGATCATATACGTAATTTCTCCAAACATGAACCCTTCTCGACCAGATCCAGTTTCTCTTGATGTTGCTAAAAATGCCCTTAAAGAATCATATCAATCGATGTTAAACGCCTTCTGGACATTAAAAAATGGTCAACAATATACTCCAAGGGGACAACAATCACAAGAGAAAAGATCTGCTTGTAAGAGTTGATTGAATTTAAAAATTCTAATATGAAAGGGTGAAATCTGCGCAGAGGTGATAACTTGATGCAGTTCTATACTTAATCAGGGCTAGTTACTATTTTAGGTGGGATTTGCATCAATAATGTAACTATTTCTGCGCGGGTTTCATTGTCGTATTCTAATGTCATTAAGGTTATTCTCTCCTATATACGTTTCATATTATGTATTTATCCAGTTGATGTGATGATGAGCACGGCACGTAACTTTGCTTCAACGCCCAAACCCACAACAAGATCATCGTCATCAACACATAAAGTTTCTTGGGCAAATGTACTCTTACCATTTTGTGAGCGCCCGGAAATATTTTCTGATAAAGAAGTGTATTCTTATGATGACAATATTGTCATTATTTGGGATAAATATCCAAAAGCAAAAATACATCTTTTAGTAATGCCAAGACAAAAAATTGATAGTCTTAAAGAATTGAAAAGACAAGATCTAAACTTGATTGAAACTATGAAACTAAAGGGGCAAGAGGTGATCGATCGGTAAGTGTTAATTAATGATCAAAACATTTATTATATATAAACAATTAATATTTATTACTACATGCATTGCACATAGTTTTAAGGAAAGCGAACCAAAATTGGTGTTCCGTATGGGATTTCACATGATTCCTAGTTTGAAGTAATCTTTTTTTTTTTTTTTTTTTTTTTTTTTTTTTTTTATACTTGTATTCGTTTATTTCAGAGATCGAATATTAATTGTTTTGATCATAAAAGACAACTTCACATGCACGTGATATCACAAGACTTCGTTTCACCGACGTTATCGACTAAGAAACATTGGAATTCATTTACAACACCGTTCTTTAAGGATGTTGAAGAAATAGAAATGTTACTGAGAGAAAAGGGACAAATTGAGGTTTGTCTTAGAAATGTATATTTTCACTAGAAATGTTATTTATCACCGCTGTATTTAATAGATCGATAAACCTTATTACGAAAGTTTGCTACAATCGCCTTTGAACTGCCATTTATGCGATGCGAAAGGATTTAAGATTCCAACGCTAAAGAGACATTTAGTAGAACATTTAAACAATGATAGATAATAATAGATAGTTTCCATTTAATACGTTAAGTTGATTATGACATTTATGTGATCAACTTTCATGGATATCTTGTATTTCAATAGCTACTGCTAAATTAATGGCAGCATGTATTACGTTTTATTTGAATCAGTTGTAAACTTTATTTTACCATCATTTCCTAGCTCAGTTCTAATGCCGATCTCACTCAGAACGTCATTTTGAACTGGTGCAATTGGTTCAAGCTCTTTAACCAGCTTTTGATTTTCAGAATTGTTAATTAGCAAATTACGAAGTGCAAATATAGCATGTTCACGAATATCTGAAATTTGAAAACTTTAATTAGATTTGTTTCTCATGATTTTGTAAATATTCGATTATTTCATTACTTACACGGATTATTATCGTCAATATTGCATTGGTTCAGAACTAGTGAAATCCCCCCTAACCTGCGCACCTAGACATAATAATTATTTTAGCCCAAGCTTACATACTACAATTTTTTTTTACCAATAGTAAGCTAAAAACCTCGTCTTGAACAGAGCAATTATCATATGCCATGTTTCCAATTACTCTAATAATATCTCTTTTAATATATGCAAATTCCGAGATTCCTTGCTGCAAAGAAGGTGACGATGCGGCTTTGGTTACACGCGGAAACGTTTTATCAGCTTGAGCCAAAAGAGCTATATTAAATGAGTTAATGCCATAATAAAATTATGAACAAATAAAGTTTAAGTTATAGTAAGCCTTACAAATACTTGAGGCGATAATTCCTCCTTTAAATAGGCATTCTCGTATTTTATCATCTCCATCTTGACTTAATTTTCCAAAACATTGTAATAACAATACTAATCCAGTATACAATATACTTGTATCTTCAATTTCTTGTGGCTGATTTTCTCGATCGACAATATTGGCTTGTTGCATTGAAACAATTACTTGTGGGCATATTGTATCAAAAACTTGTAAGAGATGAGTGCATAAATAAAGAGAAATATTTGAAGAATCTGAGGAAAAAAGTTTGGAATCAAGGAGTTTGAGGAGAGTGATTTGACGTCTTGCTAGCGATTGTCTAAAATTAAAGTGATTGGTATTTAAATAACCTAAACTAATGACCACCGGCTATACTAAACCAACAACCAATATAAAATGACGCAACATTCTATAAATATACCATACCCCAATGATGATGGTGGTGAATCCAATGAATCAAACAGTAGTGGAAAAAGATCAGACTCCATTATTCGAGCGAAAATAGCATATCTAAATGATAAGTGGTGCCTTGTAAAATTTCCTTAAGTAAAAAATTATATTTCTGAATAAAAGCCAGTTCATACATTAACTCAAAATTCTGTGTGCTTTCATCTTCAAGGAGAGTCTCAGCTCTGTCCAAAAACCTTTGCAAAATGCACATCCCTGAACCCGATGTCACTAAAGACTTTCTAATTAAAACACATATCAACAGAATACCGCGTATCCCTGAAATATTCCATTGAATTGGTCATAAGGAAAGTACCTGCGAGGCTCGCTTTCAAATATGCAATTGTGGACAAAAACCAGGCAGCCAGTCAAAATAATGTTATCATCGTGACCAGCAAGTTTACTGAAAATTGATACAATTGATATATCATCGTTATTTCGTTATTAAACATAATTATGTAAATTTATTCAAATATTCACCTTAAAAGATTATTGGATTCACTTCTACTCATAAAATCAGACCAAATAAGTTCTTGAATGGAAGTGTTCCCCGTTATCAAATTAGATAACGCTTGTATTCCGGACCTTATAATTGTGACATCTTGAAAAATTTGCCAAGACTATGAATGTGTGTTTTATTCAAGCAGTTTTTTTCCCTAGATAACTACTTACATTGGGTGTCGTCACCTGAGTAAGGTTGCGACAAGCAATACCACAAAATATTCTCGATCATTTTATTCCACTCTTGCTCTCTATTCAAACAATAGTATATTTTATTTTTATCTTGGTATTTATTAGACCTTAACTGGATGTTAATACATACAAGGCTTTGTTTTGATTTTCAGTAACAGTTGCTACTATGTTTCTGAACGTACGAACAAGCCATAATATAATGGGAATGACAATAATCTCGCCAATAATTAACTTTTCTATAGCTAATGAGTATGTTTTTGTTATAATTACCCAAAATTTTGGGTTCTGTCCAAGAATTTCTCTGATGAATATCGAATCTTAATTAATGAAAGTTCGCGTTCGTAATGAATCCGTGCAATATCAAAATTGTTACAAACCGAAATTTTGAATTAGCCTGAGCTTCCGTTGTAATTTGCTTTAACAAATGAACAAAATTGTCTACATTTTTTAAAGGATCTATGGTTTCTAACTGTTGAATAAGTTGACTAGTACGTTCGAATTCCATGAGTGTATACTGGGAAGCAGTGATACTAAGCTAATCGATTTTTGATCATCATCTACTTAAATAAATTTTTAGAAAATTGACAAATAAAATTAATTAAAAACATGTGACAACTAAATTTTGCCCGATCATCGCAAGCATCGACCTTCAAATTTAAAATTTCAAAACGTTACTTTATTACTGGAAAAATAACCAAATATACATATAAGTTACAAGCTTGTTTGAATAATAATTACAAATTTGCGAAAATTGTTAAATGAAATAAATTTTTTAAACAATATCTTGATTTTTATTTGAGAACTAAAATATAAATTAAATTACATATAAAAATCTTAGACATATCTGTATGTATATGATTTTGTTTCATAAAAGAGTTTTTTTCATATTCCGGCACTAAATTTTGGAGAATTTCTCGATTCTTCGGGCTCAAAAAAACTTCATCAACCCTTAGTTCATATTTTTCGGACCCGTGACATTTCGCTACGAATCCGCGTTCTAACTGTTATCCTATATAAGAATGATCAATTTATCATTCTAGTACGGTAGAGTGGTCAGGCCGAACCGCCTACCTACAGCAGAGACAGTGCCCGATCCAAAGTGAATCCCTCTCGTCTGTGATCAATCACAAATTAAATTATTTATGTTGG